TCTTGGTTTCTTGGTAGACCTTTGCCCATGAGCCATGTTTAGCAGGAGCAGAGATGCCCCTCCTCCTCTCACTTGGACACCACAGATGTATGATCTCTGTCATCAGCATGGATGTTTCGTGATTACCTGTTTATATTCCCTGGGGAATGGCTTACACAAGAAAAGGAAAAGCTCCTGAGGGTCAAGGTGATGACGTCTATTACTTGCCAGTTCTTAGATTTCACGGTGTGCTACCTTCAGCTGAAACACCTATAGACAAAATGCACTCTTGACTTCCCATGGAAAAGCATCCCTCTTCCCCTTGCAAGGCTTGCCTTTGCCAAACTCTCTCCATCTTAAAGTCAGAAGCAGAAACAGAAACATCTGTAATACAGTCTAGGTGGGTTTCCTTTTACTGACCAAAGGAGAATGTGGACTATGGGGGCTAACCTCTGTGGATCCTTTTAAAATGGTATAAGACAAAGGTTAATGTATGAAACCCAGCCCCCAAGGAACTTAAAAAAAAAAAAAAGCTTGCTAGGAAAAACAGCATGCAAAAGTCAGCATGCAGTCTGCACCACAGTCATGCTTGCAGGAAAAGGGGAGAGTTGAAAAGTAAATAAATTCCACTGTGGTCCTGGGGGTGGTGTGAACAGCATGGTGATTCTCCCTTCTCCTTCCTGCCTTTTGTCTCTCCGTTTGTTTGTTTTGGTCTCTTCTCTTCTTTCCTGATGTTAGAGACAGTTTGATGCCTATGAAACTTTAAAAAACAAAAACCTAACAATTCCTACTTTCCTTCATGAAACAAAGCCTTTCCCCTCTGGCTCTCGGGTTGGTTTGCTGTTTACTCTCATCATGGCCTCTAAGCATTTCTGCGTAGCGTTTCTCAGTGTGAAGATCCACGCCTGGCAGTTGGAGTCTGTTGGAGATCTGGCCCTTGTCACACCTAACCCTGTTAGTCCTAGAGGAGCTCCTGACCTTGGAGGAGGGAAACATGTAAACACAGGCTATCCCAATCGCAGCATGTTTTGTAAGTCAGAGTGCCAGCTGATAAAAGCATAGTACAACGTGGAACTGTCACCCAGACTGAACCCCCAGACATCTCTCCATCACTCTGGGTGGCATTAGCGAGCTGCAGTTGGGACTTCGACAGACATTCTTGATCATGTCCAAGCAGGGAGGCTTCAGCAGTGATTCCCATTGTTGGGTCTTCAGCATCAGGTTGCTTCTAAGTTCCCCCTGGTTTGCAGTGGCGTCCCTACCTGTTCTTTCTGGACCGGTCACAACAGGAGACTTCATAGAGTGAGAGGGAAGCGGCCAGTCACCTTACTTTCTTTCCACTGGCCTCAGCCTCCCTCCACCTCCTGGCTCAGTACTCTTGTCCCAAACCCGCCTGATGAATTAATGAGACTCCTTCTGGTTCATCCACATGATGTCTAGGTCTAGGAGTGGCCAACGGCATCACAGAGTTTTTAGGAGAATGTGAAAAAAATCTCACCATTCTAATTTGAAAAGGTCCTGGTGTGAGTGTGTGTGCGCATGCGTCACTGGGGAACTAATGGAAGGATAAAGATTTCAGTGTAAACCAGCTCTCAAATTCTCTCCTGGTAGATGGTGATCATTGCTAGGATGGAAGAGATGAATCAAGGTTAAACCCCTCGCCCCAGCCATGCTCCTAACAGTTACCCAGATCCCACAGGAAGTTAGTAAAAAGCTTCTGCCTAATGTATCATCTTCCAAAGAATGTATATCTGAAGTTCCTATACCAACACCTGCTCTTAGATGCTTTCATACTTGTGACAGAGAGGAAAAATGAGCAGATTGCACACTCTGGGACACAGGTTATGTAATGTAGCATTTCATTCTCTTAATATGACATCAGGATTTAGCAGACGATGGCTTAAGACTAAGTAACAAGACAGCCATCGTGGACAGTTATCCCAGCACTCAGGAGGCTGAGGCCAAGCCTGGGCCACATAGTGAGTTCTAGGCCAGCCTGAGTTTTATAGCAATACCCAGCCTGAAAATAAATGAATGGATATAAAATAAAATGAAGAATAAAATTTAAGAAAGCATCTTGGTTTTTATCAAATTGTAATGCTGTTTTAAGTTTTACATTTTACCCAACATGATGGTTTTTTTCCTTTGCTCTCTGGTTCTCCTTTTTGTTTCAAGCCTATGTTACAACTGATTGTTTAATGGAAACTTCTAAGACTTTGCCTTCCCAGCTCTGCTTGACATCAGAATCACTGCAGGGGCCTTTGGAACAGCCATATAAACAGGTCATTGCCTGTATTAAGTATCCTAGAATGCCTGAGGCCTGGAGCCAGGCTACTGTGGCTTATCTACTGATGGAAAGAATAAGAGGGTAAATATCTTTGGGGTTTAAAAAAAAGGGAAAAATCAATTTCAGCATTCTTATATCCTAGCACATGGAGCAAAGATGGCAGGCTCATCCAAGTGTGAGACCAGCTGTCTCTACCCAGCAAGTTCCAGGCCAGCCATTACTGCATGGTGGGACCCTGCCTACAATTCCAGTTCTTTGAAGGCTAAGACAGGGGAATTGCTATGAGTTCAAAGTCACCCTGGGTTTGTAGGCCAGTCTGGGCTACATAGGGAGACCCTGACTCAAAATACCCACACCAAAACTAAACAACTAAATATATACACATAAGTTCTAGAAAGTCTGACACAGTTAAATATTTTAAGTAGTCTTAAGATTTGTTTGTTTGTTTGTTTGTTTTTAATCAATTGTTTGTGCTTCATTAGACCTCTCGAATAATTTACAAATGAGACACAGTAAGATTTGTCAACTTGGGGGCTACACAGAAGGCTCAGATGTTAAGAGCACTGGTTGCTCTTCCAGAGGGCCTGGGTTCAACACCCAGCACCCGTATGGCAGTTCACAACCGTCTGTAACTCCAGTTCCAGAGGCTCTGGCGTCCTCTTCTGGCCTCAGCTAGAACTTCTAGCTTGCAGTAGTACACAGACATACTCTCAGGCAAAAGACCCCTATACATAAAATAATAGCATAAAATTAAAAAGATTTGCCAAGTTGAGACTTACTAAAAGGAGTATCTGGCTGTCAAATTTTTGAATACAGGACTGGCAATGTAGCTTAGTGGTAGAGTCCCTGAACTAGCACACGGGAGGCCCTGTCTTCAATCCCCAGCACTGAAGGAAAACAAACAAAAACCAATGGATTGAGTGAAGACGAACACAAGCATGGTGCCTTTCTGATGACTTTTAGAAGTTTGCAGGTGGTATCTTGCTGGCCAAGGACCATGTCCTCAGTGAAAAGGGCCAGCGAGAGCAATTGTGAGAACTTGCTGAGGGATTCAAGAAACTAGGTTTCTTTGTGAGCCTTGTGACCAATACAGAGTTGCCAGGAACAGCCCCATTTGTGCCTAGTCACTGTGCATAGTCTGTATTGCCTTTCCATATTTCTATCTCGTTACATTTAAAATTTTACTCTTTGACAGCTAAGGCGTTTTGTCCTATCCCATGGAAAAGCCAGCTTACAGCCCATGCCCAGACTGACCTCCCTGTGAGCGAGCACCTTGTCCCCTGCAATAAGGCACATTCTCCCAGAGGGACACCCTGTGTCAGGGTGAAGGGGAGTCAGCTTCTCTCTCTTTCTCCTAGGGTCCTTAAAGAACAACGAGTGATGCGCCTCAAACGCACAGTTTGGTGGGCATCTACCTTGGGAGGTTTCAATGTGTGCACTCGTGTATTCCTGCTAGCTCAGGCCTTGCCTGGGATGGCATCACCTGCTGAGACAATGGTGCATGCTCTGAGGCTGCTTGGTTGGCAGTGGCTAGGGTTACCTCATAGTTCTAGGACAGTCCCTTGGGGGACTCACCTCGGCCGCTGAAGTTGCGCTTTGACACTTCATCTCGGTCTGCCACAGGGAATCTTCACAAAGCCAAACAAACAACTGGAGAAAGGATCAAAAAGGACGGAGCACGTCTTGGTCCTTCTACCTCTCTTGCCTTCTTATCTAAACCAGATTATCACTTCTTTTGTGAGCACGGCTTCTACTCTTTCCTTTTTGCCCAGTCAACACGGTGACACAATCTTACCTATCAAAATAAGGAGAGAAAGGGGGAAAGAGTTTAAATGAGTTCATCTTTAAAGAAACCTCATATTTTCAACCTAATGTGTAAAATCCCATCTGCAGGCCTGACTACGTTTTGGGTTTCAGGTTGGACTGTCTGACACATTGATGTTGGCTCATTTACACAGTGTTGTAATTGAATGGACTGAACCATCACAAATGTTCTGACTTTTAGTAAACTTGGTTGAACCTAAGAAGGGGGGAGGGGTTGAAGGAGAAGGAAGTAAAGAAAAGGAAGAAAAAGAGGAAGGAAGGAAAGAAAGAAAGAAAGAAAGAAAGAAAGAAAGAAAGAAAGAAAGAAAGAAAGAAAGAAACCATATATGGAAAGAACCATACATGGGTTGGGAAGATGGGATATGGCTCAATGGATAAAGCACTTGCTATGCAGGCTTGAGGATGAAATGTCACTCACTAGAACCCATATAAATGCTGGGCAGGTAGAGCAGCTGGCCTATAATCCCAGCACTGGGCAGTTGAGAATAGAATCCTTGGAGCAAACTGGCTAAGTACACTACCCACATTGTCAATTTCTGCATTCAGTTGAGAGACTCTGCCACAAATAGTAAGATGAACACAACCTCGGAAGATTCCCACAAGTCAGCCATGAGTACCCACGTGCATTTACACATGTGCCCACACACATGCAAACACACATAAACACATGGGCATCATATACACATACCCCTCCCCAAAGGAAACCCCAGTGGCAGTGATTTTGTGCGTTCTGTTTATTTTGGTTTAAATGGATGAACATCTTTTTAGGAAAGTCTCAGAAGCATCTCATGGCCCTCATGACCAGGACCTTGTGGGTCACTTCGCTTTGTCACACCTCTGAATATTGACAAGCTCAGTGTTTGTGTGTGAACTGCTTGGTAATTACCATTTTCTTCCGTCTGCCTTACAGGACTACCAACCAGACTCCCAGAAATCATGCTGGTGGGATCCCAGTCCTTCTCGCCCGGAGGACCCAATGGCATCATCCGGAGCCAGTCCTTTGCGGGTTTTAGCGGCCTGCAGGAAAGGCGATCCAGGCAAGTGCTCAGTGCTCCCCTTGGGATGCAGTAGAAAGAGGCAGGGGCCGATGTGTGTGCGTCACTGAGATGCGTGTGGGGTCGCTAATATCTTCCTCATGGAAAAGACAATGCATCCAGTATTAAGTGATAGACATCATTTCTATTATTTAGAATTCCTTGTGCAGAGATGTGTGAGGCTTTAGGATGAGCTAGCCCTTTATGTGAATATATACATGTCTACACAAGAATACATACACTTAAATGGCTAGCTTATCTCAGCTATTATGAGCCAACATGTCCTTACTTTTCAGGACATGACCACTCCAAGGTATGGCGGAGGGGAAGGTTTTTAATGTAGATATGAGGGAGAGTACAGCCAGAGGCATCTGCAAGAGAAAACAATACACTGAGAACGGCCAGCACAGTAAACCAGGCCATGCAAAGGGGTGTGTGGTGGGGGAAGCAAGAGAAGGGGCAAAGAGAGAGGGGGCAAAAGGGGGACCATGAGAGTACAGGACTGAAATGGCAGGATTATGTGAGAATGAGGTGCTCGGGGAAGGGAAGCCAGTGAGCTGTAGACATTTAGGGTTGGGAGCAATGTGAGAAGAGCCCGAATACCAGCATGGACTCTGTAACAGGCATTTGCAAGGCTGAGGGAGCCTGCAGGCCAGCGTGCACTTTGGCATGCTCATAGGTACCACAGTTAGCCGTGGACGTGAGCGTCTGGACTCCTCCCTGCCTCGCTCCCAACCCTTTTCAGAGCACACTTTTCATTACCTTCCTGTTTTGGTGACTGTATTTGATATGAAATGATGAGGTAGGTAAAGACCATGTCTCAGAGAGTGACCCTGGGGAGCTGATATCACTTAGGTGGGGGCTGGAAATTAGGCTCTAATTTCTCTGGAATCCCTTTATCTCATAAAACCAAGGAGAGTGAACGGGTAACATGCAAGAAAACTCATGTTCAGCTTTTCTGATGGCTAAAGCTCTCCCTTTCCAAAGAGCTGCAGTTTCAGGGAGAGAGACTGCCTCAAAAATTAATTGATTGATTGATTGATTAATTAATTAATTAATGATGTGAAGGAATAATAATAATGTGAAGAATGACAAAGGACGATACCCAACAGTCAGCTTCTACCCATGCTTACACACATGCACTAGCACCTGTACATACACTCACAGGCCCCGACACGCAAAATAATAATAATAATAATAATTAAAGTAAAATAAGTTAAATAATACTTCAAGGACAACTCTAAGTATAAGCCACCTGTGTTTTTGTGTAATGTCCTAGAACATTACCTATTTGTCATGCTTTGGCACTTTACCCAAAAGGTGTTACTCATGTCCTAGCAAGACATAATTTTGTATCTGATATCATACAATGATTTTTCTTTTCCTTTGGTTGCAGATAACTGCTACCTGTTCCTCGTTTCCACCCAGAACCACTTATCCCTGGCTCCCTAATGAGCTAGATCACAAGAGCATCCTCAAAAGGCATGCGCCCCAAAGCCAGGCTGCCCCTAGGGTGGCTTCTGCTCAGCAAAGCTTTCAGCAAACAAACGTCAAGAAACAAAATGTAGCCAATTCAGATCTGTTGCTGTTCAGGGCTGGTTAGCTTCCTCCAGGACACCAGGATGAAGGCGAGACAATTTAAGAGGCATTTCTCCCATGGGTCTTTTGATGCCTGAGGCTCACAGTTGTCTTTCTCTTCTCTTTCTTTAGGTGTAACTCCTTCATTGAAAATGCCTCTGCTCTCAAGAAACCTCAGGCCAAGCTGAAGAAAATGCATAATCTAGGACACAAAAATAACAACACTCCCAAAGAGCCTCAGCCGAAGAGAGTGGAGGAGGTCTACAGGGCCCTGAAAAATGGACTCGAGTAAGAACGGGCTTGACAGTACACCTTTGGGAAAGATCTTTTTCCTTCCTAAAATGACCATTTTTCTTCCTAAGAGCTAGTAGTCGTAGGAAGTCAGTTTTGAAATGGCCATGGGGGTCACTGCCATTCTTGTGTCTGTTTTTGAGGCCAAGTGACATGCAGCTTAGGCTGGCCTTGAATTCACTATGCGGACCTTGCAGTTCTGATCCCCTGTCTCCAGCTGCCAAGTGCCAGGATTGCAGAAGAAAACCATCACACTTTACTGGAGGTCCCCTTCTTGCTCTGTAGTTGATGCAGCTTTATAATAAGTCTTACAGGTGGGAGACAGGCTGCGATTGCATGTCGTATCCATGACACCGTAATGTGTTTATAGCTCCTCACCCCCTCCAGTGTTGAACTTCACGCAGACAATAGTGAACATTCGGAGCTGCACTTGGAGATTGCTAAGGAAGGGTTCTGAGCCAGCTGTTCTGGGTCACGCCCGCACTTCATCCCAGCGCTCAGGAGGCCAAGGCAGGAAGGAGGAGCTTCAAAAGTTCAAGCTCAGTCTGGGTGACATATTAGACAACCTGCCTCAAGTATACATCCATGCAGACAGTTTGGAAAGGGTTTCGGAACCTTCCTAAATGTGTTATAAGGGCAGTTTGTCCAGAAGAAAATGTGCCTAACATTTGGAAAGGTGCCTACAGTCGATAGTGGCTTTAACTAGACAAAACTGTGTGACCCAGGCCCTAACTCCCAGTTGACCTTTCATTTCTGGATTTTCAGCCTCAAAAGGGTACTCCCCTCCATTCTTTCCCTTTCTTCAAACTAGATAAGATCAGATGCAACTACTAGTGTTTTCAAAATTCTCCCCAGCCACAGAGCAAAGGGGTGGTCAGGGTCTCACTCTTTAACCCAGGCTAGTCCAAGAGTTACTATGAAGCCCAGGCTAGCCTAAAATGCATAATAGCCCTGCTTCAGCCTCCCCAAAGCTGAGATGATAAGTGTGTCTTAGTTTGGGTTTTGTTGCTGGGAAGAAACACCATGCACACCTCAACTCTTATAAAGGACACCATTTAATTGGGGCTGGCTTACAGTTCAGAGGTTCAGTTCATTATCGTCATGGCAGAAAGCATGGCAGTGAGCAGGCAGACGTGGTACTGTAGAAGGAGCTGAGAGCTCTACATCTTGACCTGCAAGTAGCAAAAAGGAGACTGTGTCCCACATAGGCCTGAGCATAGGAGACCTCAAGGCCCACCCCCACAGTGACACACTTTCTCCAACAAGGCCACACCTCCTAATAGTGCCACTTCCCATGGGCCAAGCATCCAAACTCATGTGACTGTGGGGCCACACCTGTTCAAACCTTCGAAAGGTGTAAGCCACCACGTGACTGAGATCCAGTCCTTAACCCCCTCTCAGAAGGCAAAGGTCAGCAACTGCCTGGACCCCTCATGAACTGAGAGCTCACCGTGATATCTTACCTTTGCAGTGAGTACCTGGAGTTTCACCAGACAGAGCTGGACAAGCTGACGGCTCAGTTAAAAGATATGAAAAGAAACTCTCGCCTGGTAGGTGATCCTGATACAGGGTGGAGGGGCGGGGTTTCCTCTCCTCACTTCCTGGGGTCCGGGAGAAGAATGTTTAAGAAAAACAGATATAAGTAGCGAAGTTATTGCCTTCTGGTTTTTGTTTTGGAAGAAAGAATTGTTGAGCACGGTGGCTCATGCCTGCAACCCCAGAGGTAGGGAGGTTGAGGCAGGAAGATGGCCAGCCCAGGCTATAGTAAAGAAAGACCTGCCTCACAATAATAAAACTATAATAATAGAAAAGGAAGATGATTTTATATTAAATGCTTTATTCTTAATACTTCTGAATATGATACACATGTTTATGTAGATATGCTCTATGATAACATAGTGATAATAAAGGTGGTTTTTGAAAACTCCTCCTCAAAGGAGGGTCTAGAGAGATGGCTCAGTGGTTAAGAGCACTGGCTGCTCTTTCAGAGGTCCTGAGTTCAATTTTCAGCATCCACATGGCAGCTCAGGATCTGGTGCCCCTAGCGCTCAGAACTACTACATGCTCAGGAGTGGCACCACCCACAATGGGCAGAATTCTCCCACATCAATCATTCACTGAGAAAATGCCCCATAGACTTGCCTCCAAGCCAGTCTGTTGGTGTTTTCTCGGTTGACGTTCCCTCTTCTCAGATGACCCTGGTTTGTGTCAAGCTGACCCAAACAGCACAGTCATTGGCAGCAGGCAGGGGAGGAAGGGAAGAAGGGCCAGAAATCTGTGGCACAAACGTTCTCTATTCTGATACGTTTGTGAGGACTGATTTTGTCCCTATCAAAGTGTTATGTATTGCTCCTTAAACAGGCAGCAGACAATCCCAGGTGAGCCTACATACATAGACCTGGCAGCTGTGTTTAACATATGTTTATCTTTCACTCCGTTGCCATATAGACTAAGATGCTTTGCTGGGGTTTGTTTATGAACCTGCCAAGAAGCCACAAGAACAGGATACAGCAGTAGAATGGCAGAGGTCGGAGGATGCCAGCTCGTGGGAGCACACCAAATAACCAGAGTTTTACCCACTAAAAGCCAGTGCCAAAAATCTAGTAGAACTTGGTGGGGTTGGTGATTCCTTCACAGGCAATGTAGAGATGTGAGCTGAGCCGCTTATTGAATCGGGCAGCATTTCTGAGGGCGACGTGTTGTAACCAGGAGCTCTTCTTTTCATTTCAGGGTGTGCTGTATGACCTAGACAAGGTAGGCTATCTTCTGCGTTGTGAAGCTGCTGAAAGATAGAACTCTGTACTTTGAGCAGACGTCAGTAAGAGGCCCTTTGGAAAGATCATAGAATTCCAGATAAAGGACAATTTCCTCATCCTGGAAAAAAAAAAAAATCCTTTTTTTTTTTTTTTTTTTTGGTTCCATGAAAATGATGCACATCAGGACCCACAGAGTCAAAGGGCATTCAGCTCACGAGGAAACGAGACCTCCAGTTTGGAGTTTTGCCCTAGTTTCTGGAGGGCTCAGACTCAGAGTTTCTGAGTCTGGACCTTGTACTTGGAGTTCTTCACCATGTGGTCTGAGAAAAGCCTGATCACAAAATGCCATATTGTTTTTGTGCCACTAAAATGATTCCATATATATATGGAATATATATATATATATGGAACATATATTTTTATAATATATTTTTGAAACATTATACAAAAATATATTATATATATAATGTTTCAAAAATATTATAAAAATAGAAAAAAAATGATTCCAGTTAAATCTAGTTCTTTGCTTTTGTGCAAAATATATCTTCTTGACAAAATTTCTTCAGGCCTTTTAGAAGTGAGATTTTTATGCCTTCCTTTTTAGCTGTACACACTGCCACTCTCCATTCTATATACATTGCTTTATTTCAATGCCTAGTCATAGTATGTTTTTTGCGAAAATATTTTACAGGGCAATTAAATCAAATGTATGTTACAACAAAATTTATAACTCCTAAGGATGGAGTTATAAATTGTCTATAAGCCCAAACAGACAGCTATCTGTCACAATGGGCAAATAACAATTACAAAATGTACCTCAGTTTCAGATACAATTCAATGTGCAAAAAGCTCATTTTAGAACATACAAAATATGTTATGAAGGAATTTAGGTATAGTCCAAATAAGGCTGCTTCACCAGAAATCAAATGGATCAGCCGTCTCTGTGTTAACAGGATGACCATAATTAATTCAAGCTCATCTCTCAGGATAGTCAGTGTTTTTGAAATTCCCAAATTAACATTAAAACAACCGGAAAATAGTGGCCAAGGTGGGAGGAAAGGGGAAGCAGGAAGTACCATATTTCCGGGACTTGTGCCGAGGACATGCAAATGAAATCACCCCCCGGGAACCTAATCAATTGCACTGTGAGTGACTGCGTTTTCTTCATGCTTCTCTTTTTAATTCCAGCAAATTAAAACAATTGAGCGATACATGCGCCGCCTGGAGTTTCACATTAGTAAGGTAACCAGTGCTGCTCTTGTCTTTGCTGCTGTGTTTCTGCTCTCCAGTACTGCCCGGTGTATACCTACCCTGAGTGTAGCATGGGTCCGGGATGGCTTTAAGCAATAGACAACTAAGCTGAGCACAGAGATGAAAGCCTTGGGTCTGGAGAAATAGTTCGGCAGTTAAGAACACAGGCTGCTCTTCTAGAGGACCCAGATCCAGTTTTCAGCCCCAACATGGTGGCTCACAACCAATTGTAACTCCAGTTCCAGGGGATCCCATTCTTTCTTCTGGCTTCCATGGGTACCAGGCATGCACATGGAACGCAGACATACATGTAAGCAAAACACCCATTCACATAAAATATATAGAAATAAAATCCAAAAGAGAGAGGAATTAAGTAAGGAGGGGGGAAGGGAGGCAGGGGGAAGAGAGGGAGAAGAAAGAAAGGAGGAGGGAGAAGGGAGGATCAAGAAAGGGGAAGATGGAGAGAAACAAGAATGTGAAGCCTGACTATATGGCACTGTTTGGACTTTACTTTGATAAATTTGACCAGCTTAACTTCATTTTCTCTACTATTGATCCATGGTTTCACAAAATTGTTTTTAGTAAATAACCCCTTTAAAAAAAAAATGCTTAATCCCTGGGCTGGAGAGATGGCTCAGTTTTAGCAGTGTTCATATCCCTTGACTCACAACTGCCTATAACTCCAGTTTCAGGGGATCTGATAGCCTCTTCTGGTTTCCATTGGCACCTGTACTCAGGTACACATACCCACATAAAGACATACACAGTAGGCACATAATTAAAAATAAAATGTTCTTTAAAAGAAAAGCTTGGCTCCAGGCCCAGGGCAATGATTCTGTTTGCTACACAATCACGAGGGCCAAAGTTTAGACTCTGCATCCATGCAACAAGCTGGGTATCCCCCCAAAAAATGCCTGTAACCCCAGTTCCTGGTGTAGCAAAGACAAGATGGTGGGTGGGGCTTGCTGGTGTTCAGCTTAGCTGAGAAAACCTGAACTACGGGTTCAGGGAGAGACCCCTCCTACTTCAAAAGAATAGGTTGAGAATAACAGACAAGACAGCTGGCACCATCTTCATACACACACACACATACACACACGGATAGATTAAACTACTCTACTCCAAAATGATAGGTCTCACCTGTTAACAATGCCGCTTAAAGTGATAATAGTTTTGCATACTACAGCTTTTCTCTTTGATCTAAAGCTAGGACCTCTCCCAATGCTTATTCTGCATGAAGAGGGCTCCTGTCTTCATTGTCTAACCCCATAGTCCAGCACAGTGTATCCCCACCTCCCTGTCTCTCTCCTTCTCCTCCCTTTATCTTTCTTTTTGAGGCATGACCACCATGGCTTGGAACCTACCACCTTCCCACCTCAGCCTCCCAAATGCTGGGATTACAGGCATGTGCCACCATGCCCAGCTCTCTGAGTCAATTTAAACAATCCCAGTGGTAGCCACAAAGACATGACAGGGCCTTTTCAGCTTGTGTAATTTGGAAACAGGATTCCAAGCAAAATCTGCTTGGAAACAAATAAATGGGTCACGTGATACTGAAGTGACTGATCTAAAGGAATCACCCTTGACAAGTCTGCTTCTTGAGAACAGAAATCTTTAAGGGCATGACAACGGCCTGTGGGACTTCTTTCAAGCACGATGTTTATTTATTATCTGTATCCTGTTTGGGTTCTGGCAGGTAGATGAGCTCTATGAAGCCTATTGTATTCAACGGCGTCTCCAAGATGGCGCCAACAAAATGAAGCAAGCCTTTGCGGCGTCCCCTGCCAGCAAGGCCGCCCGGGAGAGTCTGTCAGAGATCAACCGCAGCTACAAAGAATACACAGAGGTAAATCCTGCAGCCTCTTTCCTTGGCCAGATCTGAACTGTCAGTCACTCTCAGAAAGAGGCAACCAGCAGCACACACAAATGCAGCCAGGCCTGCTGGTACAGGCCTGTAGTCTTAGCTACTCGGGAAGTTGAGGCATGGCGATTGCAAGTTCGCGACCAGGCTGAGCAGTTCAGTGAGACTGTGGCTCAGAATGTAAACAAGAACAGAAGGGAAAATGTAAAAGGAGAGCTGGGAAAGTAGGACAGTGGTAGAACATTTATTTACCTGGCAGACATGAGGCCCCTCCCCTCATATAGAAAAAAATAAAAATAAAAAGCCTGCAAGCAAGCAAGGCAATGGTGGAATCTTCTAAGGTAAGCCATAATGCCTAACATTTCATCTTTTAAATTCACTTCCAAATATTGTAGTGCGCCTGAAGGAAGAGCAGACCCCATGTTAAGGTGGCTAGCCCACATAGCTGTTAATATTGGAATCCATCCTGCCTACAGGGTTTTTGTTTTTTGTTTTTTGGGGTTTGTGTGTGTGTGTGTGAAAGAAAGAGACAGAGAAAGATACAGAGAGAAAGACAGATACAGAGAGAAAGAGACAGAGAAAAACAGTGAGAAAGACAGACAGATAGAGATTTTCATCTAAGTTAAAGGTATCTTCCTGGTTTCTGACAGTCTGGGGACCAAGCGTCATTAGACATGGATATTTTCACCAGCCCCCACCCCAGGGGTCACCTAACACTAACACACGGCCTTGGTTAACAGGATGAATTATTGAAGCTGCACTTCTCTCTGTCCCTGGAGACTTTATTCAGAGATCAGATGTCATCAGTGAAGTCATGGCTCGTGAAGGATGTGGTGGACAATTCATAGAGCCAAGCATCTGTTTCAAGGTCCCTTTATGCCCTCACAACTGGGCTGCCACTTGTCTGAACCAAATAAGTCTTTCTCTTTTCACGATTTAACATTAGGCTCTTCTTCACCTAAATTCCCCTTTTCAGAAGAATATTTTTCAACTTGTAAAGTAAGCTGGGCATACTTTAATCCCAACACTTGGAAGCTAAAGCAGGAGAATTACTGCAAGTTTGATGCCACCCTGGGCTGAGTAGTGACCACCAGGGCAGCTAGGACCACAGAGCAAGAACTTCTCTAAAATAAATAAGGGCTGTGGTGATAGCTCAGTCATTACTATGATTGCTGGAAGAGTCACAGTGTAGGTGCTGGGAACTGAACTTGGGTCCTGTAGAAGAACGGCCTGTGCTCTTAACCACTGGGCTATCTCTCCAGCCCTATGACCCGCTTTTTGGGCATCCCAAAATCACAGGATGCAGCAACAGCCCTAATAAACTCTGCAGTTTCAAAGCAGTGAAAGCTCATAAGTGATTCTATCACACCTGTAATCCCAGCAGCAGTTCTTGAGTGTTTTCACGTATGTCGCAATGTTCATCCCTGTTTGTATCTATGGTAAGTTTTGACCCTGGGTCAAATTAACCTAGTGGCCCCTAAGTTCTTGAGACAGTAGCAGTCCCCATGCCAGATGACACCTTTGTATGTGTAGCAACTGTTCCCTTCCAGAGAAGCCCCTCGCTCTGAGGAAACAAATTGTGTTGCAGTGTGCTGCAATTTTGTTTTCAAAGCTTCCAAAGCTACTCAGAGCTCAGACCTGAGGAAATGCTTCCCAGCTTTGCCAAGCTCTCTGAAGTGCCAGGGACTTCCTACAGGAAGGGTAACGCCATTCTCCCTGTGTCTCACAGGGGTGACAGTGCTGAGAAGAATGATAAAACAGACAGACAAAAAAAAAAAAAAAAAAAAAAAAGGAAGGAAAAAAAGAGGAAGGAAAGAAAGAAGGAAGGAAGGAAGGAAGGAAGGAAGGAAGGAAGAAAGGAAGGAAGGAAGGAAGGAAGGAAGGAAGGAAGGAAGGAAGGAAGGAAGGAAGGAAGGAAGGGCTCCCCAGGCCTTCCTAACGCTCCCTGAAGCCCTGCTTGCCCCTGTTGGTACTCCCTGGGTAGCCTGGCTTTTGTGAGAATGGTAACTTGCACAGGCCCTGACCTCGGTGAACCCGGCCATGAGGAAGAAGTTTTCGGAAGCAGTGATGGACAGTGCTGCTTGCTGCAGTAGCTAGGCTTCCACAGCTTGCCCCAGCTGAGCTGCAGGAGACCCTCATTGGGGACAGACACTGGCTGGGACATCCTAAGTCCACCTCTAACTGCTCCCATTAGGTCTGGGGCAGTAAGCTGGGGAATTAGGTATTATAAGCTTCGGCCTCTCATTCCTTTAACACCATAGTGAGGAGAGGAGTCCTACTAGACCCAGGGCATCATTCTGGAGCTTCATGAGATCACATTAGAAAGTCTGTCTCACTTAGCAGAGTCAAACATCTGTACTCTTTTTTTTTTAACCCAAATTTGTGTGTGTGTGTGTGTGTGTGTGTGTGTGTGTGTGTGTGTGTGTGT